ACGGGGATGGAGCTGAACTGGCAGCAGTTCAAGCGCCAGAGGAGGAGGGATGGGGCCCCGCTGCAGGGCGTCGAATACGATGAGGCCCGCGTGAAGCTAGCCAGATAGGCAGCGAGAGACGGAGCGGGGACGAGGATGCACGTGATGTGCGGGTCCTTCCTGTCGCCGCTGGCGGCGAAAGCAGCGGGAGGAGGGAAGTTTGACGAAGCATGCTACTGCGTGTGGCCTGGCTGCGACACAGACTTGCCAGACCAGGACCACATCATGTGGGGGTGCAGGCACCGACCTCGCTGGGCCCCGGCCCGGCCAGGGGGCGCCCTGCAGGCGCGCTGGGGCTGGCCAGCGGGGCGCAGCCGGGACGGGGATCGATTGGTCCTGCGCTGGATGGAAGAGGTGGCGGAACGCACCTGGGACGCCAGGTATCCAGCCCGTCAGTGGCGAGCGCCTGGGGGGGCGGCGCGGACGGCCCCGCAGGGGGGCAGGGAGGCGGACAACTTCTTCGAAAAAGAGGCGGAGCTGCAGCAGCGCCAGCAGGGTGAGGGAACCGAGGAGGCAGAGGAGGAGGAAGAGGAGGAACGGGCTCGCGACGAAGGGCGAGGAGGCAGGGGAGAGGCAGAGGGAGAGGCAGAGGAGGAGGAACTCAAGGAGGAAAAGGGGGAGGAGGAGGGGAAGGGAGGAGACGGCGGATGAGGAGGAGGAGGAGGAGGAGGAGGAGGAGGAGGAGGAGGAGGAGGAGGTAGGAGGAGGAGGAGGAGGAGGGAGGAGGAGGAGGAGGAGGAGGAGGAGGAGGAGGAGGAGGAGGAGGAGGAGGAGGAGGAGGTAGAGGCAGGGGTGGGGGCACCCGCACAGGCGGACCCCACCGGGGTGGGGGCACCCGCACAGGCGAATCCCACCCGGCGAGAGGAGGTCGCGGAGGGCGCGGGGAGGCACCCGCACAGGCGGACCCCGCCAGGAGAAAAGGCGAGGGCAGAGGGCAGCGCGCAGATGCCTGGGATCGGGAAACGGAGGAGGTAGAGGGCGAGAGCAGGGAGGAGGACGAGGGCGAGGAGGGCGCAGAGAAACCTGCGGAGGTGGAGGAGGAGGAGGCGGCGGAGGAGGGTGTCACCCCCGGAAGGTGCTGATTTAATTTTTATGTCGTGCTGCTGTTCGTCGGCCGCGGCATGTACAACGTTTTCTCTGTCGAAACATCGTCCCCGGACTATTTGTTGAGTATTTTTGAATATTCCTCCAGTAGAGGGACGGGCCCGACCTAGTCCTCAGAAGTCCCTGCGCGCCTTTCCTCTTCGTTGCAAGTAGCGCGCCCCCCCTGGCAAGACGAGCACCCCACGGGCCTGCCATTCGGGCGAGAGCCTCGTTTCGAGAAGGAGCTACCCTGCACCCCTTCTGCCGAGCTTTGAAGTCAGGCATGCCCCCCAACAGGATGAGTGTTGACGAACGGCCGAAACACAGAGGTGTGGCGATTTTTTATGCTATGTTCAAAATATTCCCAAAGTAGTCTAGAACTTGTTTTCTGGGCGCTGACTGGGCGAGCGTCTGGTGCGCGCGGTAGGAAAACACGATGCGCCGCGTGGCGCCAGAAGTGCGACAACGGTAGGGCCAGAAAGTCCAACGAGGTGTCCAGCGAGAGCGTTGGTTTGTAAAGGCACCGCCCCCACCCGTGCAACCGCTGCGCACTTTCACATATGGTCGACAAGTTCTATGATGTCTCATGCAGGAGCTTCACTCTTGAAAAAGTCTCGTCGTCGTCGTCGTCGTCGTCGTCGTCGTCGTCGTCGTCGTCGTCGTCGCCGCCGCCGCCGCCGCCGCCGCCGCCGCCGCCGTCGTGGTCGTGTTCGTCGTCGCCCCCTTGGTCGTGGTCGTCGCCGTCGCCGTCGCCGTCGTCGTTGCCGCCGCCGCCGTCGTCGTCGTCGTCGCCGTCGTCGCCGTCGTCGTCGTCGCCATCGCCGCCGTCGTCGTTGTCGCCGCCGCCGCCGCCAAGGCCGTGGTGGTCGTCGCCGCCTTGGTCGTCGATGTTGTCGCTGTCGCCGTCGCCGTCGCCGTCGTCGCCGCCGTCGTCGTCGTCGCCGTCGTCGTCCTCGTCCTCGTTCCCGCCCCTGTTCTCGTCCTCGTCGTCGTCATCGAGGGCGTCGAAAGGCCTCGAGATGCCTCCAGAGGTCCTAGGATATCTTCTGAGGCCTCCAGAGACCTCCGGAGGCCAGAAGGGGCGGCCGTCGTCGTCGTCGTCGTCGTCGTCTTCGTCCTCGTGGTTCTCGTCGTCGTCGTCGTCGTCCTCGTACTCGTACTCGTACTCGTCCTCGTCTTGTCCACGTTTTTGTCGTCATCGTCGTTCTCGTTGTCCATGTCGTCGTCCTCATCGTCGTCGTTGTCCTCGTTGTCGTTGTCGTCCAGAGATCTCCTGAGGCCTCGTTCGTCGTCCTCGGCGTCCTCGTCCCTCATCGTCGTCCTCGTCTTGCTTCAGAGGCCTCCAGAGATCTCCTGAGGCCTTGGGAGGCATCTGTAGACCTTGAGAGGCGGCCGTCATCGTTGTCGTAGTCGTCGTCATCGTCGTCGTCCTCCTCGTCATCTCCGTCGTCGTCGTCCTCCTCGTCGTCTTCGTCCTCGTCCTCGCCCTTGTCGTCGACGCCGCCGTCGCCGCAGTCGTCATCGTCGTCGTCGTCATTGCCGTCGTCGTCGCCGTCGTCGTCGTCCTCATCCCCGTCCTCGTCCTTGTATCCTCGTCCTCGTCGTCGTCGTCGTCGTTATCGTTTTCGTCTGGCGCTCGGGCGCCCTCGTCGTCCAGCAAACACCAGCACATAATAATGCTCGAAGGAGGCTGTGGGGTAACAAAAGACTGTGGTGCACAATGGTGCACGTATGCACTGCGCAGTACATAGGCGATGTGGTGCACGCGGCTTCGGCGGTGCGTACTGTGCTGCGCATTGTGGTGCTTGTTGTGATGTGCGCAGGCGCTGTGGTGCGAGAACCATGTGGCGAGGGGGGCGTTACATTATGCCCCCCCCGCCCCCCCCCATACCGCCTCTTCTGGCCGCGAATATGACCACGCGCTCCCACATCATTTCAGGCCTCTGGTCGTTACATTTTCATACGAGAGCCCTGTTTCGAAAAGGTGCAACCCTCCATCCACAGCTGCTGCGTTGTTGTAGGACGAATATTCGCGGCGTGCTAATGCGAGAAACCCACTTTGAACACGTACCACCCTCCATCGTTGTTGCTGTTGCAGATTATAAGATGAATATGCTCGGCGCATCGGATGAGAGACCCATTCTGAAAATGACGCAGTCTCTATCCTTGTCATTGCTGCAACCTTTCAAACGAATCTGCTCGGCGCAAGAAGCGAGAGCCCAATGTTGAACAGGATGCGCCCTGCGTTCTTGACAGTTGTTGCTACATGCTGAGACGAGTGCGCGCGGTACCCCAGCGTGAGCCCCAATTCTGAAAATGTGTCGCCCTCCCTTGAGTAACTGTTGCGCAAGTGGTCGGATTTGCAAGGAACTGTCAGGCCAGAGCTCCGTATAATCAAAAAGTATTAGCCTCCATCTTAGTAGGGGTTGCAAGCTTTCCAGATGAATGTGCGCGATGCCAAGGCGAGAGCCCCAATCTGAAAAGGGCCGGGCCTCCAATTTTGTAACAGTTTTCAGTGTTGAGCTCCATTTTGAGAAGAATTTTGACTCCATCCGCGTAGTTTCAGCATTTCAGCAAGTGTTTGGCTGCAGACGGTAACTTGTGAGGAGGTCTTACGCAAACCGCTTGGCTGGCCCACCGACACGTCTGTCAGAGTGAGTTACTTATGAGGACAAAGACAACGATGGTGTGGACGACGATGCTGATGATGGCGCTGATGATGCTGATGATGCTGATGATGCTGCTGACGATAATGCTGATTATGATGATGACGATGACGATGACGATGCTGCTGATGATGATGCCGATGACGATGATGATGATGCCGTGAATGATGATGATGCTGATGATGATGATGATTCCGACAAGGAGTATGAGGCGGATGATGATGATGCTGATGATGATGATGCTGATGATGATGATGATGATGATGATGATGGCAACGGTGGTGATGATGAGGCTGATGATGATGATAGGGATGGTGCTGATTCTGATGATGCTGATGCTGATGATATTGAGGAGGAGGATGAGGATGGTGATGAAGATGAGACGGTGGATGATGAGGAAGAGGAGGATCGGTGATGATGTTGATTATAATGATAATGATGAATGATGAATATGATGCTGATAATGATGATGATGAATATGATGATGATGATGATGATGATGATGATGATGATGATGATGATGATGATGATGATGATGATGCCGATGATGATGATGATGGTTGTCATGATAATTATTATGATGGTAGTGATGATGATGATGATGCCGATGCTGATCATGTCGAGGATGAGTATGATGAAGTCCAGGACGAATCTGAGGATGATGATGATGATTATGATGATGGTGATGATGTTGCCCAGGATGACAATGACGACGACGCTTACCACGAGGAGGATAGGTGGATGATGATGACGATGATGCTGATGCTGATGCTGATGATGATGACGGTGATGATGTTGATGATAATGAAGATACTGCTGCTGATAATGATGATGATGATGCTGATGATGATGATGGTGGTGATGGTGGTGATGACGGGGCTGATGCTGCTGCTGTTGCTGCTGCTGATGATGGTGAGGATGACGATGTTGATGATGTTGTTGTCGTTGTTGTTGATGCTGTTGCTGCTGATGATGATGAGGATGATGGTAATGGTGATGGTTACGGTGATGGTGATGATGTCAATGATGCTGATGGTGCTGATGATGATGTGAATCATGATGCTGCTGATGATGCTACTGATGCTGTTGCTGATGATGATGCTGATGATGCTGATGCTGCTGAGGATGATGATGCTGATGCTGATGCTGATGATGATGATTGTGATGATGATGATGATGATGCTGATGATGATGATGATGATGATGATGATGATGATGCTGATGCTGATGCTGATGCTGATGCTGATGCTGATGCTGATGCTGATGCTGATGATGCTGCTGATGATGCTGCTGATGATGCTGCTGATGATGATCGTGATGGCGGTGATTATGATGATGCTGATGCTGATACTGATGCTGATGCTGATGCTGATGCTGATGATGCTGCTTCTGATGATGATGATGATGATGATGATGATGATGATGATGATGATGATGCTAAATTGCATCCCTTGAGCCTGCAGCGCCCTTGCCGTTCTTCCTCTTTTTCCTCCTCCGCCTCCTCTCACTCCTCCTTCCTGGTCGTCGTTTTGGGGGGGGGGGTGGGAGAGGATACCAGGCGGGCGCAACTCTGGGAGTGGCGGACGCGCCGCGCGCTTCCTCCCCAGCACAAGCTCGACAACAAGGTGGCCCCCGCTGCATAGCGTCTCCCGCCTCGCGCGCCTTTGGGCACCTCTCTCGCGCGCGCGCGCGCGTTTCTGTGCTCATGCCCCCTTGCTGCACTCCACCCGCCGTTGCTGTTATTCCCCCTCCTCCTTCTCCCTCTCCTCCTCCTCCTCCTCCTTCCTCCCTCCCTCCCTCCCTCCCTCCCTCTCTCTCTCGTCCTCCTCCGCCTCCTCCTCCTCCTCGTCCTCCTCCTCCTCTTTCTCTCGTAGTCCCTTGGGCGGAGTGTCTCTCGACGAGCGCCCTTGCAGGCCACCGAACCGAGCCGAAACGCCGACCTCGAAACCATATAACCATATTGGCTTGCTAACGGCGGGCCGGGAAGTGGTGGCGGCGACTGGGTGCGTGCGTGCGTGCGTGCATGCGTTTGTGCGTGTGTATACCCTAAGCGGTCTTTGAGGACTCGGGCGTTCCTAGTCGCGCGCGCGCGTTCGCTGGTTTACGACTTTCTCCGCCGTGTCGCCTCGCGCAGGGCCGCGACGCCAAACAGTGTGTGTGTGTGTGTGTGCCTTCGCTCCGGGCGTGACCTGTCCCCCTGAGCGGCCCTCGCCTTGCTCCCCCCCACCTTCGGCCGCCCGCCTTCCCCGTTTTCCACCTTTGCATTGTGGCACAATTCGCTACAACGGTGCCCCCGTTTGGTTAGCTCTTCAGCCAGCGCAGTTACTCTGCCCAGCCGCCGACGCAACAAGTGTGTGTGTGTGTGTGTATGTGTGTGTGTCGACGCAAAAAGTGTGTGTGTGTGTGTGTGTGTGTGTGTGTGAGTGTGTGTGTGTGTGTGTGTGTGTGCGTGCGTGCGTGCGTGCGTGCGTGCGTGCGTGCGTGTGTGCGTGTTATGTGGCTGCAGACAGGAGAGCATGACGTCGCGGTGGTGATACGTTGCAGGATTTCCAGGTTTTTGGGCTGTTCCGAAAGGGCTCAAGAGACGAGGGCCACCACATGCTTCAGACTTCCTGGAACGTGTCCTGAGCCAATCGTATCATAACATCATTCTCGTCCTACGGCCGCAAGGTGAAATCCCTGGCCGCTTGTCTCCCTCTCGCCTCCCCATTCTCCTTGCTGCTGCTGCTCTTCTGGAGCTGCGACGCAAGTCCGACCTGCTTCTCCAAACGTCTAGTGCCTCTGTTCCTAATGCTCTTGGGTCTCCTCGCCGCGCCCGCTGGAGCAGCCCAGCGCTGTCATACTTGTCCATCGCCCGCTCTCTCACTTCTTGGTCTCAGGGGGTCACATCGCCGCCTCGACTGGAGCGGTTTGGAAAACATCTGAGGACGATTCCAAGGAGGAGCTGAGGGGAACGTTTTCGAGCGCTTCAGGCTGGGAGGAGGCAGGGGCGAAGCAGCAGTTGCAGTATGCTTCATCGTGAAGCGTTGGAGGGCCAGGGGGCCCAGGGACTGTTTGGAAGGGGCCTGCAATGGAGATGCTTCCGCCATGCGCCTTCTCTTCTCATCACCTTCAGGGGCGTGTTCCAGCCTCCCGCACTCTCTTCACTGGTTCAGCACGCGCCATGTCGGGAGCCATCTGGCGTTGCGCACTTGAACAAGCTGTCAGGTCGTTTTCTCGCTCCGAGTCTCTGGAGGCTTCGTCTCGGCCCTGGGCCCATCCGCCGTCGACCTGGGGCGAAGGGCCCGCGCCACAATCTTGCCGTCGAGCGGTGCCGTGCGCGCTCGCCTTCGGCGTCGGCAGCTCTGGCAGGTGAAGGGCATGCTCGCACTCTCTAGCACGGACCCTCGACGGACATGCGTTCTCCATCTTAGCAGGCTCGCCCACCCGCCTTCTTGTCCGTCTCGTCCTTCCCCTCTCCGTCCGCGGCATTGGTATCATCTGTGCGGTCGTCCCGAGGTGTAAGGGTCGAGGTCGGCTCGGGGAGGGTATCCTGATGGTCTTCGTGTTTGTCGGATGTTCTTGTGCATCCTGGGGGAGCGTGCCCTCGAATGTTTTTTTCAGATTGTCCTGGGCTGGGCCGTACCATCCGTATCGCAGCCAGGTTCATGGGCACATTCGGACAACTCTCACGCGCGGCGCACAGGACGTGGCATCGATTGAGCCGACGGGGATGTCTTCGACGCCTCGACTTCTCAGCGACGCAGAAAAACTGGCTCCAGTTCGCGCGGACATGTGCGCGTAAGCTGCCCGCGCCAGGCCGCGCGTGAGCACCCTGGTTTCCACTGGGGCGTGCCGCGCCGGTGGCCCGCGTAAGCCACCGCGTAAAGTTGCACTGCCATCGCGCGTGAGCCCCGCTTCCTTTCGTCGATCACCTGCCCGCGCCCCGGTGCCGCCGCCCAGTCCCGCACAGGGCCGCCCCTCGGGGGCGACAAGCCGAGGTCCCCGGCCCCCTGCTCGCAGGATCTCGCGCGCAGCCTCCTCGCGTTACATCGGGCCTGTGCCTCCACAGGAGGAAAATTCAAAAACAGTCACAAAATCGTATGTGGACGTTTTTGGTCCATTTCTGAATATTCTTTTGAGTATTTTTTTTTTTTATTTCACCGAGAATCCGCCTGTAGGGGGACACGCCCGACTTAATCCTCGCGGCGAGGCCCCGCAGGCGCGGGAGGCGCGGGCCTCGACCCGCTCCGAGTGCTGCCGCGCGGCGGCCGAGCCACCGCGGTTGGCGCAAGAACCAACCATCCAGAGATGCTGCGTCGACGTGGGCCACCACTGGCCCCCCGCATCCCTTGTTGCCCTCCGTTGTCCCACATATTCTAGGCCTCCTAGATTGGGTCCGAGTAGATGGGGTCGGGGGATCGCGTCGTATCGCCGATGTATCGGCGATGCGGCTCGATGTGGAGCCCGTGTTTCCGCACGCCGACCTCGCCGATCTTTTGTCCCCACCTACTCGGAACCCATCCAAGAGGCCTCTACATATGCTCCACAGTCGTCGGCATCATCAAAGCTCATGGATTCAAGCACCCGCAGACAGGCCCGTTTCTCAGCCTTGAGATCGGGGGGCGCGGGGGGGTCCAACGAATGAGCCTGGGTTCCTCCGTCTGGTGGGATTCTTGTGCGCCAGGGCTGGACCTAAGCGCTGTTTTGCTGGACTTCGGCTGTGTTTTGTTTTTCCCCACATCCTGAGTGGGGTTCTTGTTTTCCCAGGACACCCGCTCCTTCCCACCTTCCCACCTTCCCACCTTCCCACCTCCCGCTCCCTCTTCCTATTCCTACCATACCATACTATACCATACCATACAATACCGCTCCCTCTTCCTACTCCTACCATACCATACCATACCATACCATACAATACCATACCATACTATAGCAGACCACCGTACCTACCATACCACACCTAGGAAACCATACATACACCATCACCGCATACCTACCACACCATACAATACCATACAATACCTACCTACCACGCTCGCTCCCTCTTCCTATTCCTACCGCTCCAGGGAGGCCCCGCCAGAGCCGCGAGGGTTTCGTGCCCCTCCCACCCCTCCAGCCCCGCCTGAGCGAGGACAGTATTCGCAACCATATTATTTATCAGGTTTCGTGCCCCTCCCACCCCTCCAGGGAGGCCCCGCCTGAGCGAGGAAGTATTCGCAAACCATGTTATTTATCAGGTTTCGTGCCCCTCCCACCCCTCCAGGGAGGCCCCGCCTGAGCGAGGACAGTATTCGCAAACCATATTATTTATCAGGTTTCGTGCCCCTCCCACCGCTCCAGGGAGGCCCCGCCTGAGCGAGGACAGTATTCGCAAACCATATTATTTATCAGGTTTCGTGCCCCTCCCACCGCTCCAGGGAGGCCCCGCCAGAGCGAGGACAGTATTCGCAAACCATATTATTTATCAGGTTTCGTGCCCCTCCCACCGCTCCAGGGAGGCCCCGCCTGAGCGAGGACAGTATTCGCAAACCATATTATTTATCAGGTTTCGTGCCCCTCCCACCCCTCCAGGGAGGCCCCGCCAGAGCGAGGACAGTATTCGCAAACCATATTATTTATCAGGTTTCGTGCCCCTCCCACCCTCCAGGGAGGCCCCGCCAGAGCGAGGACAGTATTCGCAAACCATATTATTTATCAGGTTTCGTGCCCCTCCCACCGCTCCAGGGAGGCCCCGCCAGAGCGAGGACAGTATTCGCAAACCATATTATTTATCAGGTTTCGTGCCCCTCCCACCCCTCCAGGGAGGCCCCGCCAGAGCGAGGACAGTATTCGCAAACCATTTTATTTATCAGGTTTCGTGCCCCTCCCACCGCTCCAGGGAGGCCCCGCCTGAGCGAGGACAGTATTCGCAAACCTTCTGCGTGGCCCGCCCGCACTGCGCGCGCGAAGGCCCCCGCTCTTGTGCTGTCGTTCCGATTTGCACTATCTTGGCCGCGTCGTGTACGCGAGGTGTTCCCCAAAACATTTGCCTGCACATCGCCATCGCCAATTGCAGTCTTCGTCGCCCCCGTCACCCTGCCATCCTCGTCGACCCCTCCCCCCGCACCTCCGTCTCTTCCTCTTCCTCCTGACTAAGCACGCGCCCTATTAAAACGCCCATGTGGGGAACTCCGTTAGCATAATTTGTTTTGGCAGGGAGCTACCATAACAATACCATACCATACTATAGCAGACCACCGTACCTACCATACCACACCTAGGAAACCATACATACACCATCACCGCATACCTACCACACCATACAATACCATACAATACCTACCTACCACGCTCGCTCCCTCTTCCTATTCCTACCATACCATACTATACCCCTCCCATAGGGAGGCCCCGCCTGAGCGAGGACAGTATTCGCAAACCATATTATTTATCAGGTTTCGTGCCCCCCCCACCGCTCCAGGGAGGCCCCGCCTGAGCGAGGACAGTATTCGCAAACCATATTATTTATCAGGTTTCGTGCCCCTCCCACCCCTCCAGGGAGGCCCCGCCAGAGCGAGGACAGTATTCGCAAACCATATTATTTATCAGGTTTCGTGCCCTCCCACCGCTCCAGGGAGGCCCCGCCTGAGCGAGGACAGTATTCGCAAACCATATTATTTATCAGGTTTCGTGCCCCTCCCACCGCTCCAGGGAGGCCCCGCCTGAGCGAGGACAGTATTCGCAAACCATATTATTTATCAGGTTTCGTGCCCCTCCCACCGCTCCAGGGAGGCCCCGCCTGAGCGAGGACAGTATTCGCAAACCATATTATTTATCAGGTTTCGTGCCCCTCCCACCCCTCCAGGGAGGCCCCGCCTGAGCGAGGACAGTATTCGCAAACCATATTATTTATCAGGTTTCGTGCCCCTCCCACCGCTCCAGGGAGGCCCCGCCTGAGCGAGGACAGTATTCGCAAACCATATTATTTATCAGGTTTCGTGCCCCTCCCACGCTCCAGGGAGGCCCCGCCTGAGCGAGGACAGTATTCGCAAACCATATATTTCATGGTTTCGTGCCCCTCCCATCCAGGGAGGCCCCGCCTGAGCGAGGACAGCATTCGCAAACCATATTATTTATCAGGTTTCGTGCCCCTCCCACCGCTCCAGGGAGGCCCCGCCTGAGCGAGGACAGTATTCGCAAACCATATTATTTATCAGGTTTCGTGCCCCTCCCACCCCTCCAGGGAGGCCCCGCCTGAGCGAGGACAGTATTCGCAAACCATATTATTTATCAGGTTTCGTGCCCCTCCCACCGCTCCAGGGAGGCCCCGCCAGAGCGAGGACAGTATTCGCAAACCATATTATTTATCAGGTTTCGTGCCCCTCCCACCGCTCCAGGGAGGCCCCGCCAGAGCGAGGACAGTATTCGCAAACCATATTATTTATCAGGTTTCGTGCCCCTCCCACCGCTCCAGGGAGGCCCCGCCTGAGCGAGGACAGTATTCGCAAACCATATTATTTATCAGGTTTCGTGCCCCTCCCACCCCTCCAGGGAGGCCCCGCCAGAGCGAGGGCAGTATTCGCAAACCATATTATTTATCAGGTTTCGTGCCCCTCCCACCGCTCCAGGGAAGCCCCGCCTGAGCGAGGACAGTATTCGCAAACCATATATACATATAACGGCGCACCGGGTCCGGGGGCCCGGGGCCGGGACCCCGACCGCAAATGTGGGCCCCGGGGGCCCCGGAGGCTCGTCGGGGCTTGCCAGAGGCCTCCCCGGTCAGACAAGACGGCCCAAGAAGCGCCCAAGACGGCCCAAGAAATTTCCAAGAGGCCTCCAAGAGGGCTCCAAGATGCTGAAGATGGCCTCCAGACGTCCAAGGACGCCCCCAAGACGAGGCCTCCAAGAGGGCTCCGAGATGCTGAAGATGGCCTCCAGACGTCCAAGGACGCCCCCAAGAGGCCCCAAGAAGCCTCCAACATGCGTCCCAAGAGGGCCCCTAGACGCAAAAATTGGCCCATTCCCTTCGTAAAACGTACATTTTTCACAAAGTCGCCTTTTGGGCTTTCCGACGTTACAGGACGGCCCAAGAGGCGCCCAAGACCGCCCCAAGACGGCCCAAGAAGCTTCCAAGAGGGCCCCAGGACAGCCCAAGAGGGCCCCAAGACGGCCCAAGAGGCGCCCAAGATGGCCCAAGAGGGCCCCAAGACGGGCCCAAGAGGGGGCCCAGAGGGGGACCACGAACCGCAAGCTCGAGCCTTCCGCCCCAAGAGGCCGCCAGGAGGCCCCAAGGAGGCCCCTCAAGAGGCCCCAGGAGACCCCCAAGAGGCCCAAAGGAGGCCCCGAGAAGCCCCAAATCGGCCCCCAAAATGCTTCGAACCTGCTTCCAGGAGGCCCCCGACAGGTTCAGAGGCTCCCGAGAAGCTACGTCAAACTCCCAGCGAGCGGCCGGACGAGGCCCCCCACAAAATCACAAGAGGGTTCCAGTATTTGTATCCTTCAGCGCTCTCTGGCCTTCTTCCCCCTGCCCCCTTCCCTGCGACTTTCGTTGACTCAAGCTCGCCTCCTAGCTAGAACCTAAGCGCGCGCGAAGCGCGCGCGTGGTTCTAGTTATTTATCAGGTTTCGTGCCCCTCCCAGCCCTCCAGGGAGGCCCCGCCAGAGCGAGGACAGTATTCGCAAACCATCTTATTTATCAGGTTTCGTGCCCCTCCCACCCCTCCAGGGAGGCCCCGCCTGAGAGAGGACAGTATTCGCTGCCATCCTCGTCGACCCCTCCCCCCGCACCTCCGCCTCTTCCTTTTCCTCCTGACTTAGCCCGCGCCCTATTAAAACGCCCATGTGGGGAACTCCGTTAGCATAATTGTTTGTTTTGGCAGGGAGCTACAGGAAAACAGGTAGAGCAAAACGAGCAACAAAACAAACACAAGGCGAAAAACAACGTTTATGACCAGCCCTGTTGTACGCCAATGGCGGCAGGCTGGCGTGTGGGGTGTGCGGCGCGGCGACGGCGCGGCCCTCTGGGGCGGCAGCAGCACAGGCTCGGGGAAACGAAGGGCTCGAGTTTGCCAGAATTCCACGCTTAGGTCGGGCATGTCTTCCTACAGGCGGATTTTGGACGAAGTATAGAAAGTACTCCGAACTGCTCCCAAATGATCAACCGTAGTCAAAAATCGTCACCAGAGTATTGTTTGGCTATTCTTGAACTTTCCTCCTGTAGAGGGACATGCCCGACTGTATCTTACGCTTTTCGACGGCCCGTCCCGCGGTTTGGCAGCAGTCCACTCTTCGTGGGATGTCTGCGGCGGTGGCTCGCGCCAACTCTCAGACTGGGTCTCGCAGTGTCCCTGACGGCCGTCAGACCAGCCCGCGTCCCCCGAACCCACGGGTGGACGTTGCGGCGCCCGTGTCCGCCAGGGGCGGGGCCTCTGAGGTCAGCGCGGGCTTCCTGAACCCTCAGAGGGATCGTGGTCGAGGCCGGCGTGGGGAGGTCAGGGAGGGGGTGTGACGGGGAGGGCATGCGCGACCCAGCGTCGGCGCCCGAGAGTCGTGGTCCTGCTCTTCCTGAGGGCCGCCAGACCCGAGTCTTGCGTCTCCCCCGCAGGTAGACGTTGCGGCGTGGAACGAGACGAACGATGACCACGAGGAGTCGGTGAAGACGGTACGCGACATGGCCTCCGCCCTCCGCCTCGAGGCCGACACTCGCCGCAGGAGCGCGCGCCTGGCTTTGGGGGGGTAGCGGTGGGGCTGGGCGTCCCTGGTGGCCTTCCTGCGCGTCTCTCGTGCCTCGGCCTCCTCCTCGTCCCGTCGGGCCCATGGCCCTACACGGTGCGCTCGTGGATGGACGGGCTGCGTGGATGGACAGGCGTTGAAGGGCGGCGACGGTGACGGCATGCCAATGGTGGTTCGTACGAGGATGAAGAGGAGGCGGAGGAGGAGGAGGAGGAGAACCAGTGTAAACCCAAGAGGAGGCGGAGGAGGAGGGTCAGGAGGAGCACCAGTGTAGACTCAAGACGCAAGAGCGACGTTGCACCCCCTCCCTCCAAGTTCCCTCTTCATAGGTCCCTGCAAGAATTGATTCTCACTGCGGACGTGCAGCACTGGAAGACAATCGTCGGAGAACCCTCAATCGTGCCTCAAAAAACATTCCCTGCGACTTCAGCGCGGCGACTCAACGGGACTGTTGCGCCCTGACGCTCTGAACTCGTGCCAGAACGCAGTTCCTAGGGCTTCAGCACGAATCAACGTGACTGTTGCGTCTTGACCAGCCTAAACTACGCCAGAGCACCATTCCTGGGATTTCAATCGTACCAATTTTTGAACTTGTTGCAGATAAGACGAATGTGCGCGGCGCTGAAGCGAGAGCCTCATTGTCAAGAAGAGCCGCCTTGCATTTTCCCAGAAAGGGCTAGGACCCAGGATTCTCTTTAAATAGGTTTCCCCCCCAGCCATGACTTGAAGCGGACCATTGAATTTCCGCTCGATAAACAAGAAAACGAGGTACAGTCCAATTCGGCGTGCAACTAACGCGTTTCGCGCGTGCCCTCTCGAGGAACATGTGCCCCCCCCTCCAAGAATCGGAGTCCATAGACACACGTGTTCCGTTGTGGAAGAACGAGGGTGCGGAGTGTTTTGCGCATGATAAAGCACGAGGAAAGGAGACCCTACAATTTTTGAACAAAGTAGGATCAGTTGATTTTTTCCGTGCCGGCTCGAGGATGGCGCGTCCCGCGCGCAGAAATTTAGAGGATGTCTCGAGCGAACGTTTGTTTTGCAGAATTCGAGCGGCCTGGGCGCCCCAGGATGCCCAGGTGATTCTGGGAGCCCGAACACACTATAATTTACTTGGGAACGTGGCCCTGGGAGCGCGGACACATAGTAATCCACGAGGGAGCGCGGCCCTGGGAGCGCAAACGTAGCGTACAGTCGGCGCTGATTCGTAGGGCGACCCTGCCAGATCAATGGTACCCTTGTGTCCTGTGCCTCGCGACCCATGCCTTCTGCACTCCTATGACAACGTGGCCCTCGGAAGGGTCTTCTGTCCTCTCGCGCGTCCTCTCCAATCAACTCCGACTGTAGCCAACGAGGGATCGACAGACGTGTGCAGTCGTCCTTGTCATCCTCCTTCTGCTTGCTCCCTCGGGGTGTCGAGGCATGGGAGGTGCCCAGAAGCGCCACCAGGCCAGCTTGGCACCAGTCGGTGGCCAGAGACTCGAGCGTCCCGCCGAGGCGCTAGCCGACCTCACGATGGATCGTCCTCCTCCTCGTCCTCGCCCTCGCACTTCTCCTCCTCCTCCTTCACCTCCTTCTCCTCCTCCTCCTCCTCCTCCTCCGCCTCCCCTTCCTCCTCCTCCTCCTCCTCCTCCTCCTCCTCCTCCTCCTCCTCCTCCTCCTCCTCCTGCCGAGAGCTGCAGTGCCTCAGAAGCCCGAACCCTCGACCTGAGCAGTCAAATGCAGCCGGCTACGCTTGCTCCTCCACTCGAGCTTTTGCGCGGGGTCGAGGGGGAGCGAGGAGGGGAGAAAGGGGGGCGGAGATGCAGGATGGAACAACAGGCGCGCCGCGTGAGGCAGGTATGGGGTACAGGGAGGAGGAATGCACGGATGGGGGAAGAGGTTGGGGAGAGAGGGAGGTATGGAGGGAGGAGGAATGCCTCCCCACCCTGGCTGTCTGACACCGGCCGTCCGTGGTGCTCTCCCCCCCCCACAGGAAGGTCGACGAGGCACTCAGCCTGATCAGGAGCGAGACCCAGCAGCTTGAGGACAAGGCGAGCCGCCCCTTCCCCTGTGCCCGTCCCCCCTTCTCCTCTCCCTGCCTCTTGCCCCCTGTCGCTTCCCTCTCCTACTTGCCCCGTCTCCCTTTCCCTTCCGACATCACTCGTCCTTTTGACACTGCCGTCCTCTTTCTCGTTCCCCGAAACGTTTCTTCCCTTCTACCATCCCCCTTTCCCCCCCTCTCTCTCTCTCTTCACCGTCCACTTCCCCCCTCCTTCTCCTTCTCCTCCCGCTCCTCGTCCTGCTGCTCTTTATCCTCTGCCTCTTCCTCTTCCATCTCCTCCTTCTCCTCCTTCTGCTCTTCCTCCTCCGCCTCCGCCTCCTCCTTCTCCTCTACAACCCCTACTCGTGCCTCGTCATACCCGCTGCTCCTCCCTCGCCCCTCTCTTCTCGGGGGCCAGAATGCTGTGACGCAGACGGCTTCCGCTCGTGATTGATGAGCGTCAGCCCCCCTGAGCTGCAGAAGCCTCTCACTCCACCCGCCCCCCCCTTTGTCCTGGCGCGGAGGGGCAGAGGGCGTGCGAGAGACAGATGTCGCAGGCATTCGCGCGAGAAGCAGCCGAGCCCTTTCGTCGGGGGAGGGGGCTGCTGCTGGTCGCCGCGCCTGGGTGGTGGCCCGCAGCGCCGTGGGGGCGGCGGCGGCTTGGCACCGCCGCGCCCAGAGGGGGTCTCGCGGTGCCGCTGAGGCGGCTTGCGCCCCGGGGGGCGTCGACGGCGGCGAAACGGGCTCCGCGCCGCCCTCCGCAGAGTTCCACGGCTCGGGACATTTTGAGTCGCCGCCCCCCTGGAGCTCTCTCGATCCCTCCCCTGTGCTCTGGACAAGTTCTTCATCCCGAGCGGTTCTCCTGCGGACTGTTGCTCCTCGACGGAGTGGACGCGGTCTGCTGCGCCTTCCCCCCCTGGAAGGTGGTGGCCCCTGGAGGCTTCGCGGAGGCTTCGCGAACCCGGGCGATCTGCGCCACCGAGAAATCGGAGCAGCATTTTCGCTCCAACAGTTTTTGAGGCTCTGCAGGCCCGTCTCGGGCCCGAGGGCCGATGAATTCTAGACGCTTCGCGTAGCCCCACCAGTCGCTCCCGCTCCCTGGCGGTCGCCTTGGAACCGCAGACCAAAAAAGAAGCCCCACCAGTAAGCATCCTGGAAAGGCCAAAGGTCGCCGGAGCAGGGGCCCTCCTGTGGAGGCACGATCCCAGTGTCGGCCCACCCAGAGTGGTCGCCGCAGTCGTTGTCGCCCTGGCCAGGGACGACAACGCCCAGACAGCAGAAGCCGCAGGGTGCAGAGCTGGCCTCGCCCTGCTCCCGCACATCGAGGGCCCCGTCCGCGGCGCCAGAGTCGTTGGAGACAATCTCGCCGCCATCAGATACGGCGCTGGGACGGGTCGCTACAGGCGGCTCCACCTTGCGCAACATATGGACTTCGCCCTGAGACAGGCGGCCAGCGGGGGCTGGACGCTCTCCTGGCAGGCCGTTCGACGGCGGCTCAACAAGGCCGCCGACCGAGTCGCGACGCTCGGCGTCTTCTGGGCCGACGCCCTGAGGGCTGCCGGGCACCGCGCTGTTCACACTTTTGTCGCGTGGGCGACACATCCCACCCCCCTTCCCACTGATTTCCCTTGTCCTGGCACGGATTTCTGTGACCTGGATGAGGTCCCCCTCGCCGGTAACGCTCTAGAAAACTCCCCCCCACCTTTCCCCCTCCGCCCCTGCAGCCCGCCGCGCCCGTTCGCTAAGGTCGCAGTGGCTTCTTTGCAGAAAGTGCAGCCTTCAGCTGCTTCCTGGTTTTCCTGGTATGCCGAACAACAGTGGGCCACTCAGAAGGTGGGCGTCATGCCTCCCTTGCTCGGAGGACGGGCCCCCGCATAGTGACGGACGGCGTGTCTTCCTGGCGAAATACTGCCTGTGGATGTGGTGGGCGTACTTCGACGGAAGGTGGAGGTGGTACTGCGAGCTGTGCCAGAAAGTACTCGATGACATCGACCACCTACTCAGCGCAGACCACTTCTGGCAGGGATCGAGACAGTACGAGGACGGATGGCCAAATCCCAGCACCTTCACATCCCCTGGCAATATGTGGACCATGACCTGGGGCACGACCTGGGACAATGACTCACCATAGCTGCTACATCGAGATGAAGGCCTGGGCAGGATGGGCGCCAGCACAGCCCATCGATGTCAACGGTACTCGGCTGCTCTCTAGGCTAGCGATCCCGGGAGACTGCTTCCACGAGCCCACCAGTTACCCGCTCTCGGACGATTCCGTGGACTACAATTGTCCTGGTGGCACATTGTTCGACCCGACGCAGGTCAGACCAGCCCACACTGGCAGCGCCCAGGCTAACGTGTGGTGGCCTCGGAAGTCTGACAAGGATGAAGGATGAGAGGGCCGCCGCCCTGGCAAAGTCCACCTCGCCCTTGGACACCATGCCACCGCAGCCCGCGGGTCCGCCCACCGAGCTCGGGCCCCGTGCAGACGGCGCCACCGCCTCCGGCAGCGGGGGGCAGCGCTCCCCAGCTGCCTGGGCCCAGCCGCAGCAGCAAGCTCGCACCATCAGACCAGCCGACGATGACGACAGCCCGCCCGCGCCCGATCCTGGCAGTAGAGCCGTGCTCGAGTCCCCGGCCCTCGCAGCAGCGATCGAAGTCCGGGGCATCTTCTCGCTCCCCCGTGGCCTGAGCACAGCCCGAATGCACCCCGCCGTGGCCCGGTGGCCTTGCATCTTGCGGGGCCGAGGCTTCGCGTTGAAGCGCGCTGCTTGGATCGAGGGGCGTGCCGCCCTGGAAACGCCAGACGACGGCGCCCCGAAGGCAAGAGCGGAGCTGGCGAGGAAGGGCAACGTCGCCCTGGGGGTCCGGATCGCCAAACTGCACGCCCGCAGCAGTTGCAGTGACCTGGGCCGTTTCGCCCCGCGCGACAGTTTGTGGACAAGTGAGGGCACGGAGTTCCTCCTCCAATGGTCGCCCATGCTCCG